GTTGCTGTCTTGCCTTCCCACCACCGATTGGTAGTGAGGAGGCAAAGTAGCAAGTCCTGCTGGGCCGGTCCCCTACCTCCTCCTGCCATCTCCGCTGCCAGCCCAGTCGAGAGCCGACTGCTGGGCCGGCCGGCCTCGCCGCAGCAAGCTAGAAGACTGAGAAGAACCCAGGCATAGTTGGCTAGCCAACTTGCCTGTGTCCTTTTTGGTAAGTTGCTTTTTTATATTTATGTATTTATTTATTTTTTCACTATCTGTTTTTGTTTTTATTAATCATAAAAACAAAACAGATACGAAAGAAATAAACACATGAATAAAAATTATTTTACTATTCATCTTGATGTTTCTTTAAGCAAAGGAGAAAGAAACATCAAGATGAATAGTAAAATAATTTTTATTTATGTGTTTATTTATTTCTTTCATAGCTGTTTTGTTTTTATGATTAATAAAAACAAAAACAGATAGTGAAAAAATTAATAAATACATAAATAAAAAAAAGCAACTTACCAAAAGGGAGACAGGCAACTTCTTGTTACATTGATGGTATACATTATCTGTTTCTGCTTAAATCAATATATAGCAACATCAATGTAACAAAAAGTTGCATGCATACATAAATGAAATTTTTTAAATGAAAGTGTTTTATTTTTTTTAAACATAAATAAAAACATAAAACATAAACTATCTTCAGAGATTGGGCACAATCTCTGCAGTCTTTCCTTTCCAATTTGCATTAATCCTTATATCATGCTAAGCAATTGGCCACTTAAGCAAGCACCTGCTCATTAAGTGAGTACCACTTAAATTTGGGTCGCCAGCCATATGGCCACCCGCCTGGGCCTTGCCTGGACCTCCCCAGGCTTTGGAAACTGGCAAAAAGCACTTGCTAAGCAATTGGCCACTAAGCGAGCACCTGGTCATTAAGTGAGGACCACTTAAATTTGGGTTGCCAGCCACATGGCCATCTGCCTGGGCCTTGCCAGGGCCTCCCCAGGCCTTGGAAACTAGCAAAAAACACTTGCTAAGCAATTGGCCACTAAGCGAGCACTTGGTCATTAAGTGAGGACCACTTAAAGTTCGGTTGCCAGCCACATGGCCACACCCACCCCAGCCACATGACCACATAGCCATGCCCACCCCAGTCACATGACCATGTAGCCACGCCCACCACATCACATGACCACATGGCCACGCCCAAACAGCAAGCCACTCCCACCCCAGTCACATGATCACCAAGCCACACCCACAAATTAGGCCACGCCCACAGAACCGGTTGTTAAGAAATTTGAATCCCACCCCTGGGCCCACCAGTGGGCCTCGGCCCACCAGTAGGCAATCCTAGATCCTGTGAATGTGCAGATAAAGCTTTACTCATCCGTCGCTTGCGCAGCGTGGACCCTAACAGGCCCTGGACAGGTATTTGTCCGTGACCTGGGGATTGGGGAACCCTGCTACAGTGGTGTGTTAGACCAGGACTGAGAGACTCGGGTTCAAATGTCCACCAGATCAAATAATTCATTGGTTGATTTTGGGTCAATTATTTTATTTCAGTCCACCTTACCTCATAGACTTGTTGCTTGTATAAGATTAGATGATTCCATGTTTGCTATTTTTAGCAAGAAAGATGGGAAATAGATACAACTAAATATACACGGCTGCTAAATAGTAGTCTGGCTGTGTCATTTTGGGAGCAATTATATGTAATTTATTTTTGTCATCAGATAGCAGCAACATCTAGAAACTGATGCTTTCACAGAGGGTGGGGAACCTGTAACTGTGTGTGTGATGAATAGGTTTGTGTGAAACAGCTTTGTTTTGCCTCAGTGAAATCTTTCATATAGAATGTTAAGGATTTATCTCAGCTGTTGGATTAATGTGCTATTCATGTTAAACATGTTTCTCATATGCATCTTCACATGCATAGTCAGTAAAAAAAGTATCTGATTTATATAATCTCTGTAGTAGTGGCGTATCCAGACAATTAACATATGAGATCTACTTTAAATAAGCAGAAAAATCCCAAGTGATTTGTCAGTTGTGACAAATGAATACATGAGATTAGGCTGAATGTGCAGCATTCCTACATTTATTACATCATAATCAGTGGTGGGATTCAAACATTTTTACTACCAGTTCTGTGGGCGTGGCTTGGTGGGCGTGGCAGGGGAAGGATACTGTAAAATCTCCAGTCAGAGGTGATATTTGCTGGTTCTCCGAACTACTCAAAATTTCCGCTACCGATTCTCCAGAACCGGTCAGAACCTGCTGAATACCACCTCTGATCATAATGTACTAAATTGGAACAAATGTACAAGATATTGAATAGATTTCTCTGGGAAGTGCAACCTGTGAGATTTTCATTATGCAAGTTATAATGACTGATCAGGAATGGTAGATTTAGTTTTCTCCTTTTTTAGGCACTTATCCTAGCTTTGATCAATGGTTAGAATACAGTAAGTAAGACATTTCAGTATTTAGTCCTTCTTGAGAATTATTATTATTTAGTGTATGGCTTAAGAATTACTTTTAGTTCCTAGTGAAAGTGCTTACTGTAGGTATACTGCCCAGAGTGTGATAGCATAGATTTGGGTGGTCTAATAAGTACTATGAATAATAATAAAATAATATATTGAAATCTTGAAAAGTATTGAGATTGTGTGTGCCAAGGAATCTGTTTTAGTATTTAAAGCACAAAATATATACAGTTTACTATAGATGGCCATGGTTTCTCCATGAGAGGCTGGAGTTCAAATTTACTAATATTAAAAGTTATTAACTGAAGCTATTGAAAATTAGTTAAAAATAATTCATATTTGTAAAAATGATATTCTACTAAAATCTCAGTTTGATTAACTTCTGAATATGGCCAGCTTGTGAATGTACCGGTACCAGAATTTTTAAAAAAGCAGAATTACCATTATGCTAATATAAAATAGTTTTTCTTCTCATGGTCTGTCAGGTTCACATTTGTCGTTCTCATTTTTTGTAAGTGTTTATATGCTATTACACATGGATTTCTTTTTATTAATCTTTTCTCGTTGCTTGTTGTACCTGTTCTAGTATGAAATAATTAATCTATTTAGCAACACAGAGGTACACATTGAAGATAAAAGAGAACAAGATACATAGATACATGGAACCAAAATGTACATATATAGAACAAAAAACTAAACAAATATCTGTTATAATTAAGATAATGTGACTACATTTCCTCAATTAGGGAAATACCTTTTCTTATTAGAATAGCAATACATTGTCATGAATGTTTGAGTTAGGTGAGGTTGAATTCTATACTCTTATCAGTTCCAAATATCAGTATACTATATCATGTTTGTCAAATTACAAATATGTTATGGCTGTTAGAAGTATAGCAATTATATGTAATCACAAACTATTTTTCTCTGGTTTTGACTGTCCTTTTAAAAGTTGCAAATATATTAAGTCATGATACTAACTGTTAATTTTAATGAATATTTTATAGACATTGTATTGTTCTTTTCTTGGTATTGTTATTTTGTAGAGTTTGGAACATTATTTTCATAATTTTGTTTTCCTACAGGAGGGAGAATTAAGTGAAATGATTTTATGGTCACAAGATGAAATTTTTCTTGGATATACTGACGTTGAAATTCTTCCATTAATAACTGCAAGACTATTAAGAGAAAAACTAAAACTACCAAGAACTGTTGATCTATTAATAGTAAAAGGTTGCTTTGACTCACTAACTGCTTCAATTGCAATACTGCTAGAATGTACTGGCTGTATAAGCAAGAAGATATTATACCTGGCTACCTATAAAGAAGATACAGCTGAATGGAAGTTGAACGACTTTACCCTAGGTTTACCCACTGTTGGTGCCATACATATGGAAGTCATACTTTCAGCTTTAACATCCATGGTGTTGTGGGATGATGATACAGTTTTCTATACTTACAAAAATTATACGCAGTATGGTTATTTTCAGGAGGCTGTTACAAAAAGCAAATTTTCAGCAGTATCTAAAGGATCTACAATTCATCAAATTATAATTGGTTAAGTATTCTATGTTTTAATAGAAATATAAAATGGAACTGGTTACCCTTCAAACAGCAGAGTCTCAAACCTTGTAGAGATGTAATGATTAATAACAAAATTTTAAATTGTGTAAAAAGTGAAGTGCAGTTGTCACAAGAGATTGTTTAAAGTACTTATTAAGAGAGTGGAGCGGCCCTAATGAGAAGGTAATTGTGAGTGACTGGGGGCTGCTGCAGCTGTATCGTGAATAGGTGGTCCAAGAGGGGAACCATTGGTTGGCATGTTCCTGGAAGAGTGAAGAGAACTGGACTGAAATCTGGCTGGGTGACAAAGAATGTAATCCCCTTTTTGGCTTCCGGTATTCCAGATGTTTTAGCAACTGTGATAGAAAAGAAGGAGAATGGGGATGATCTTCTATGAGACTTTAATCTAGTATTCGCTGGGGATGCTAAATCAGGTCTTTCAATTAGCAGAGTAAAGTGATGTAATTTAGGTAGAATGAGACAGGATAAAGGGAGAAATTTATTCTGGAATCGTATCAGATTTTTGTCAGAGTAGAGGAACACTATGGGTTTGGCTTCAGACAGCAAATTTTTTGTGACTATCTGACATTCAAGTGAGAATTATATTCTGATAGTACCGATATTACCTAATAAAATAATTATCTTTATATTAAAAATAAATATGTGACTGACCCAATTTTCAGCTGAGAAAATTATTGTGTAAAGTGGCCAATGGGACTTCTGTCAACTTAGTATGCCTTTAAGACTTATGACAATGAAAAGAATTAAATATGTCACCATGTTTTTTTAAAGAAAGTAGGATCTGAAATAAGTAAAAATAATGAGATTTATTTAGAGTAAAAGTTGTAAATAGACTAAAAGACATTATATGTTTACCAAAATCATGAATTAGTTTACTGAACAGTATGTTCCCATATATTCAGTAATGCTTATTCTACTTTGAACATACTTGAAATTACAGTATCAAGACATTAATATTTTATGTGAAATAATTTTATTTCTTTAGAAATGTACTTAATATGGTAATATAGTATTCTTTTTCTTTTCCAGATTACATTGGAAATGCCATAATAAAACTGAAAAATAATGCTCTGTTTTTCTTCAGATTTGAAGTGACAGATATTGTAAAGCTTACTGCTTGGGAAAATAATCTTAAAAAGTTTATATATTTTTATAATCCTTCTGGAGATTTTTATTTGCTGACAATCAATGGCACAAAAATAACCCGCCAGGTATATCCGATGAAATTAGAAGTGCTTAGTGCTGCATCAAAATTGAATGACATTTGCCCATATATATCATTTGAAAACAATTTGGATCTCAATATTCGTTATCTAGACATGGGAGACAAAGTGACATTTTGGGGTCAGATAGTATTTTTAGAAAATAAGGGTTTATCAGTAGATGTTGAAATTTACAGGGCAGAACTGTTGAAGACTAAAGAAGTTATCAATTATGAAATAGCTCGTGGAATCTGCACTAAAAATAAGGTGTGTACTTTATACTTTTTATATTTTTTACTTTTTGTTACTGTTCTTGTTATATATGAATCAGACTGAAGAATGGGGCCTATGTGTTTCCTAGATCTTTTTCTGAAATTCCTATCTTCCATTCAAACTTAATCTTTTATCTTTATTAGAAAATTTTGTGCAGATCACAGTATGCAATCAGAAATACAGTAAACCAGAAAGAAAGCCAGACATTAGAATTTTGAAAAAATATAAACAAATTAAGAAACACCATAAAGGTCATTTATTAAACAGCATATAAGGATATGGTATGTAACATCACAGAAATACTAAATCCCACATACTTTTTTCATAAAATATTTTCCATCCATATCTAAACATACTTCCACACAAAAGTCTGTGGTCAATAGTCCACAGATTAAAACAATAAAATATTTTAAGAATATTTGTGGATCACTCTATAAGGCCAATAATGTACTTTAAAAAATTAAAAATTCAACTGCAGCCTTTGAAACCTGTACTTAGTGATGCATTCAGATAATTACATGAGGCCACTTGCACAAGAATTTTTCCTAACCTTTTGAAGATCAACCAAGATCGGAAAGGTCTGTTCTGCTATGACTTGCCTCAAAATGAATTATTTAATTTTAACATAATATTCAGATAAGATACAATTTTATATCTGTCGGAGAAGACATACTGAGTTGAAGCACATATAAATAATATATTTGATGTAGTTCATGTAACTTTTTTATATATTTCATTTATTAATTAAGTTATATATTTTGCTTGCCTTAAACCAACAAGAATCCAAAGAATAACTTTGGATAGTGAGATGGGTGGAATATAAATTAAATAACTAAGTAAATAAATAAATAAAATAAAGTTTTGACATATGCTTTATGCAATTTTCTCGTAATATGTGTGTCAGGGTTTTATTTATTTATTTGATTTGTAAATTACTTACAAGATAATAGGTATAAGTATATACATAGTTACGAATACATGAAATGGGTACATATAAGAAAAATAAAAGAAACAATAGGACAGGGACGGTAGGCACGTTGGTGCGCTTATGCACGCCCCCTACAGACCTCTTAGGAAAGGTCAATAGTAGACAGTCTAAGGTTAAAGTTTTTGGGGTTTGGGGAAGAAACTACAGAGTCAGGTAGAGTATTCCAGACATTGACCACTCTGTTGCTGAAGTCGTATTTCCTGCAATCAAGTTTGGTGCGGTTAACCTTGAGTTTGTATCTATTGTGTGCTCTTGTGTTGTTATGGTTGAAGCTGAAGTATTCATTGACAGGTTGGACATTGCAATGTATGATTTTATATACCATACTTAGATCAGACCGAAGACGGCGTAATTCAAGGTTTTCTAGGTCTAGAATTTCAAGTCTGGTGGCATAAGGTATTCTGCAACGAGTAGAGGAGTGGAGAACTCTTCTTGTGAAATATTTCTGGACTTTCTCAACTGTGCTAATATCAGATACGTAATGTGGGTTCCAGATTGATGAGCTGTATTCGAGTATTGGTCTAGCAAATGTTTTGTATGCTCTAGTTAGTAGTGTGATATTACCAGAGAAAAAGCTACGTAGGGTTAGGTTAACAACTCTTAATGCCTTTTTGGCTATGTAGTTACAGTGGGCTCTAGCACTTAGATCATTAGAGATGAGTATTCCAAGGTCCTTTACAGAGCTTGGATCATCAACAAGATCTTGACTATTCAGCTTGTATTTTATTTTCTGATATATTTTTTTGCCAATATGTAAGACAGAGCATTTATTTGTTGAGATTTGAAGTTGCCATTTGTTTGACCATTCTGATACATAGTCAAGATCTTTCTGAAGGGTAGCAGTATTGTCTGTGGTATTGAACAGCTTTACATCATCAGCGAAAAGTACGCAGTTGCTCTTAATATGATCACAGAGGTCATTTATGTAGAGTATGAAGAGAGTTGATCCTAGAACAATGCCTTGGGGGACACCACTATTGACAGGTACAGAATTTGATAGGACACTCCCAATTTTGACCATTTGTTGTTTGTTTGACAGGAATGCTTCTATCCAGTTCTGCAGTTATCCAGAGATACCATAAGATTTTAGTTTTAGGAGTAGTTTGTCGTGTACCACTGAATCAAAGGCTTTACAGAATTCTATTGCTTTGCCCTGATCGAGTTGTGTAGTCCATATGTTTTTGCAGTGTAAGAGTTGCAGATTACAGGATAGTTTTTTTCTGAAACCAAATTGTTTATTGGAGAGTAGGTTGTTTGTCTCTAAGTGGAGGATAATGGATTGGTTAATAATTGATTCCATGACTTTACAGGTGATGCAGCATAAGGAGATTGGTCTGTAATTTTCAACTAGGCTGGGGTCTCCCTTTTTGAAGATGGGGATGACCGTGGCTTGTGGCCCTAGTTTCTTGCTAGGAAGCTCTAGCCTCAGATATTTTGTGGAGAGGTAGACCTTCTTCCCCAACTGTAATCACCATTGCGGGGTTTGGTGTTTGTCTGCCTGTTTCTTATAGGTTTGCACCACTTTAGCTTATGCTTTTTAAAAGTTCTTCCAAGTTGCTTTCAGCATTGACATCCAATTTGTCAAGCTGATCAAGGAGGGGGGATCACTTGGGTACTCAGGCATTGGGATGAAGCCCAATCTAGTGCAGCCTGAATCTATTAGGCCTTGGAAAGTCCCCTGAGTCCATATTTTGGGGCTGTGAGCCGTATTGGGAAGACGAAAGGGGGGAATCGGTCCACTCACCATTGGGTCTTTTTCACCCTCATCCTCACTGTCATAGGAATCCAGTGACTGATCATCATTGCCTGGGGTCCCCCCCTCCAGACCTCTACAGCCTGAAGGACCTTCTGGGACATGTTGGTGGCATGTCTGGGGCCTCATTCTGGTCGTGCCCTGGGCGGTGGCTCTGACCTTGGTTTTGGGGCTGGGGTTGCATACACTGCTGCCATGTGGCCCGTTCCCCCGCATCTATAGCTTTTAATTGGGCTTAATGGGAGGGCTGGTTTTGGGGCCAGTTGTGGTGCTGTGGTTCCCCATCGGCTGGGTGGTTTCTGGTTTGGCTGACCTATCTGTTTGGTGTCTAGTGGCTTTCTCATGTTTTTGGTGCATAATCCCTTGTTGACTTTTTTGGCCACTCAGAACCACTCAGAGAGTCGGTTGGGGATGTCTCAATAGGCGGTTATTTGGGCAATTTGCTGGTCCAGGCTTGTTCTGAAAAAATGAATGAACATCCGTTCAGGCAAAAGGGGTAGCTTCCCACTGATTCTCCTGAATTCACAGATGTGTTCCTTGATGGGTTGCCCTCTCTGCTTTAGGTTGCTGAGCTCATCTTTCACATATGGGTCATCCTCTGCCTCCTCAAATCTGGCCTCTAGCAATCGTAGGAAGTCATCTACATCCTGCAGTTGGGGGGGGGGCTTCTCTTGTGGAGGGTTGCTAGCCGTCCTCTTGCTTCTCCCTCTAGCCCCTCAGAAATGGTATTCACCATGGCTTTGGGGGATAGGTAGAGATGTCCATAGCGTTGTAGCTGCATCTCAGCTGAGTCAAGGAATAGAGCTAGCTGGTCTGGGTCCCCATCAAATTTTCCCCTGAACTGGGGCAGTTTGTTGAGCACTGCTCCTCCCTCCTCCTGTTACCCTCTGTAAGCCTGCACTTGAGGTGGCTGGCCTTCCTCCCCAGCTCTAGTTTGCAGAGAGGGAGGAAGCTGCCTGCTGTGTGGGAGAGGCACTGGCTGAAGCTTTGGACTCCTTTTTCTTCTGGTGGGTGGAGAAGGGGGGCTGTGGTCTTGCCTGCTTCTCCTCACTTCAAATGGCTCTGTAAAAATTCCCCTCTGTTTTGGGCGGCATGATGGGCCATCATCCCAAATGATGGCCCGGCAAATTCCAACCTCAGCTGCTCTATGGATCTCCAAAGGGGTTCCATTGGGGCTTTGGGAACCTGGCCTGTGCCCAGTCCCACATCCAATCCACTCTTCCCAGCTCGCTCAGGAACCTTTCCCCCCTTTGGACCTGTAGGTGGGGAAATTCAACTTCAGCTGCTTTAGGGATTTTCTTCCACCGATATTCATCCGTTTTTCTTTCAGTTACTGGAGCAAGTTTCTCCGCTTTGGAATTCAAGGGGGGTTGCACTCTGGCTGTAATTATGCTGTCAGCTTCTGTTTGCTTCTGGCTGGAAACCAGGTCTGCTTCTCCCTTGGTTGCCTAGATCAGGCTCTCTTCTGATAACCCGTCCTCTGCCATGGTTGCCTGAGTTTCTTTCCATGCACCCCAGATGTCGGGGAGCATTGGAGAGGCTGTGATTCAGGAACTCTTGCAATGTTGATTAATTAGGAGAGTTGGCTTGCTGTCTGGGTTCTGGCGATTGCCCTAATTAAATCATGAGCCTCGAGCCAAGCTTCAAAAGAATCCAAAAGATTTATTAGGAGCAACATGTCGGCATTATCTCAGTTGAAGCCAACTCTGACACATGTGATTTATGGTCATCTATGACCCTGTTTTCTCCCTTCCCCCTGGGTGTGTCATCAATCAGATTCTCCAACAGAGCACATTCACGGGCTGGGCATCATCAATCACATTCTCCAATGAAGGATTTTCATGGGCAGAAGATCCGGTAGCCTAGCTACAATCTTTGTAAGATATGTGTGGAATGTATTTCTGCTCCCCCCCACCCCCGCCCGCTTATGGCAACTCGAAAACAGGCATAGGAATTCTTTCCGAGTTGACAATGTGTTTATTAGAAATTCAGAGGAAGGTATTATAGTCTAGTTCACTGATGCATTTATCTATTATTTCTTACAGACTGTAACATTTTATCATGAAAGGGATTATTCTGAACTGCCTGATTATCGAACCCAGGTGTAAGTTAAAATTTATTAATATAAAAACAATAATTCAGAATCAATACACTTATTTGCATTCAAGGATGTCAATGCATTTTTAAACATATTCCAGTATTTTAGTGTTATATTCTAGGCTCATAGGATCCAGGCCAGGGTTTAGTTTACTCTTTCTGATTATAGAACAAGTACCAGGTAGTCCTCAAGTTATGAATGTAATGGAGCCTGCCAATTACATTTGTAAACTGAGGATTTCATAGGAGTGAATCACGTTATTTGACCACAATCCCTCCTTTCTCCCATGCATTTACTAATTGAATGCACGGATTGTTAACTGCACATGAGATATCTCAGGGTGGGCCTAGTGATGGGACAGGCCATCTTCTTCAGACCACCTGGTGACAACAGAGGGAGAGCAGGTTGCCTGCTCAGCTCAGCTCCTCTGACTCACTGAGGCTGCCTGCCACTTTTGGAGTAGTGGGCAGCCTCGGCTGAGTCTCCTCCAAAGCCTTCCAGGCTCGGCATGGAAAAGCATCTGCACACTGAAGTGAAGCTTTGGGGCAGTGAACTTAATCCTCTCATTGGCATGCAAACACTTTCCCACTGTATTTCGATTCCAACCGCCCCAGGATCGCTCAAACACATTTTGCCCGGATGAAGATTAGAAACTTCTGAGGTCCATGGTCTCACATGAGTTCAGACACCCATCCATTTTTGCGGAGAAAAAGCCCATGAGATCAGGGCATCCAAAATGTTCTGGGGGAAAAGTGTTTTCACACCAATGAGAGGCTTGAAGTGATGCAAGTTTGCTGTCCAAAAGCCTCACTTTGGCATGCAAATGCTTTTCCTAGCTGAGGAGACAGCTTGCTAGATCTTCAAAAGGTAAGTGAGTCTCCACAGGCCTGCTTGTGGAGACTCGGCAGGGGGAGGGGGAGGAAGGGAATAGGCAGGACAAATGTTGCAGTGCCTCTGTGGTCATTCTTAAGGGTGAATGACTGCCTTAGTGCTGCAACATTTGTAATTTCGGGACTGGGCCGTAAGTATTGGGGGGGGGGGGGGTACTACGTTGTAACTTCAAATTGTCACTAAGTGAACTGTCATAACTCAGGAAATACCTGTATATTGGGATTCCAAAAGGAGGAACAGAAAAAAGTGAGAAAGTTAAAAGTTTACAGGCAGCTTGTGGAGAATTCCATTAATGATTTAATAAACATGATGGGCTTTTGATCATTGTTGATGCTGAAATACTTTATAGGTCAGGGGTCTGCAACCTTAAACATTCAGAGAGCCATTTGGACCTATTTCCCACAGAAAAAAAACACCTGGAGCCACAAAACCCAGGTGGGCGTGGCCAACTCAATGTCACTCACTCTCACCCAGTCACATGACCCCCTAGCCATGCTTATCCAGCCACAAAACCCTTCTCTCTATGTATCTCTCTCCCTTTCTTCTCTCTCTCTCTGTATCTCTCTCTTTCTCTGTCTCCCCTTTCCCTATCCCCCACCTTCTCTCTCCTCTCTGTCTCTCCTCCCCTCTCTCTATCTCTCTGTGTCTCTCCCCTCTCCCTATCTCCCACCCTCTCTCTCCTCCTCCTCTTGGTATCTCTCTTCCCCTCCCTCTGTATCTCTCTCTGTACCTCTCCCTCTCCCTATTTTCCCCTTCCCCCCTCTCTGTATCTCTCCTCTCTTTCCTTTCTCCCCCTCTCTCTGTGTCTCTGTCTCTCTCTCCCCGCTCCCTGTCTTCCCCTCCCCCCTCTCTCTGTATCTTTCTCTGTATCTTTCTCTTTGTATCTTCCCCTCTCTCTGTATCTGTGTGTGTCTCTCTCTCTCTCTTCCCCCTCTCTCCCCCATATCTCTGTATCTGTGTGTCTCCCTTCCTCTGTATATATATATCTCCCTCTCCCTCTCCCTATCTTCCCCTTTCCCCCCTCTCTCTGTATCTATCTCTCTCTATCTCTCCCTCCCTATCTTTCCCCCTCTCTCCCCCTCACTCTGTATCTGTGTGTGTCTCTCTATATCTCTCTCCCCCTCCCCCCTCTGTATCTCTCTGGGTGTATGTGTCTCTCTCCACCTCTCTCTCTCCACCTCTCTCTGTCTCTCTCTCTCTCTGTCTCTCTCTCTGAAAGCCCTGCCTGGGCCAGCAAGCTCTCCTTGGGGCTCTTCATTACTCCTTTTATTTCTTCTTTTTGGAAATCGGAGCTGGCTGTGGAACGAGTGCCAGCCAAGGCAGAGGCTTCCTTTTGGGTGACCCTCCTCCTCCCCACTCTTTCTTCTCTTGCGACCCCCTGGCTGGTTGTGGCAGGGCCGGGAGAGTGCACACACGTGGGGAGACTCTCCTCAAGTGAGCGACTGGGCTCAGCAAAAGTGCAAAAAAGGTGCACACAGGGGTGGCTGCTGCTTAAGGAGGGTCTCCCCAGCCGGTCAGGGGGTCGCAAGAGGAGAAGGAGGAGGGAGGAGGGAAGCCTCCACTGAGGCTTGTGTTTGTTCCTCAGCCAGCCCAGATTTCCAAAAAGAAGAAATAAAAGGAGTAGTGAAGAGCCCCAAAGAGAGCTTGCTGGCTTGGCCCAGCCACAGCTTTCCAAAAGATAGGTAGGTAGGTAGGTAGGTAGGTAGGTAGGTAGATAGATAAATAGATAGATAGATAGATAGATAGATAGATATAGATAGATAGATAGATAGATAGATAGATAGATAGATAGATAGATAGATAGATATACACAGAGAGAAAGAGAGACACATAGAGAGAGGGGGGAAATTGGCTGATGGGCGAGCGTCTTTGGTGAGGGTGCTCCGGCTTTCTGCAAGCCTGACCCTCAGGGTGGGTGTGCGAGGTTTGGTGGGGCCAGCCCCCTTTTCCCGCTGCCCTGAGCTTGTTAAAGCTGTGGCTGGGTGCTGCAGGCACATCCCCCTTTCCGACGTCCTGTCCTCCCGGATCCCATTCCCACCCCACTAGCCCTCGTATTAGTGAGGCTGGTGTCAGTCACAGCTTGGTCAGGCCAGTATCTCAGTGCAGAGAGCAGGTTGCATGTCTCCCCAAGCAACCAAGGCATGCCTAGCACCAACAAGGGCCTGAAGCAAGCTCCAGGAAGAGTGAGGTGTTGGAGAATCAGCCATGGCTGCTTCTCCATCTCCCACCATCACCCTTATCTTCTCAGGCCAGGGGAGGAAGGGAAGGAAAGGGCATGGGGTGAGGCCAGTCAGTGATGGGACAGGGAGCCACAGCAGAGGGCCCAAAGAGCCACATGCGGCTCTGGAGCTGCAGTTTGCCGATACCCACTATCGGTGATAAAAGTGCAGATGGTCCCAGTTTCCTGCAAAAATTGCATACCTGCATGTTAAGTCTATTTTATTTTATATTTTTCTCTTTTTTTGTGTGCAAGAAACAGATCTGCGTATCACAAAAAAAGTTAGAGGAGGTACTCTCGTGTACAGATTTCAGTGGACCAACTCATTCTGAATTCAGAGTTTTATGACTCATTTTCAGCTACCAGGGAATGTGGTAGATACTGGATGTAAAGGCTGTCAAATTTGTAATAATGGCAGAATATAATTTTATGTAGAAGCAAATTAGCTTGTCTTGTTTTGAGGGAAAGAAGATTTTAAAAACTTTGTCAAACAATTTGCTAAGTAAATAAATTATACACTGTAAATTTGCTAAATACATAAATGAATTCTAAATACAACAAAGTGAAGTACAACAAAGTAACAAATATTTCAAGCCACTTCAGTACATAGATTTTGAGTAATATATTTCCCCAAATCCACCAACAGGACAACATGTTCCTCCTCATCCTCATGGATATATTTTATTCTCAAGTGTAAACAGAGCCTTAGTGTTGAGGTAATTCCCCGTTAGGAGAATGAGCGCATACAGGGAGACGTATAGAGAGTAGTGTTGGAATAATACACACAGAGCACACAGATACACTGTACAGTAAATGTAGGTTTTTACTTCCAGAAAGGTTTAAGCAAAGTCCAAAATAAGCAGTCCAAAATCATTCACAAGTTAAATCAGTCAGTTTTCATCCAAGGTTAATCCAAATATCAAATTCCAATGTCAAAAACAGTTCAGTATCAGACTTACATTAAATCCAGTAATATCAGTCAATTAGAAGAAATGGAACAATGGCAATATTTTCCAACAGAAGGAAACTCACACTCTCTTCTGAGACTCAGACTAAACAACCCAGGTTTCTGGCTCCATCTTATGGCTGTTTGAGAAACCACACCCAATTGCATGCTCTTGCATTCCTTTAAAGATATAGTACTAAAATGTTTATCCTGGTTTATATATTTCTAACCCAAATACCTGTTAGGTGACTTATATTCCTAACATTCTCCCCTTTTGGGTAAGATAATATATACAACCTTACATTCTAATTCCATAATCTTCACGGCACGCCTTATGCTTTATAGAGCCTTGGGCCTTTGTAAAATGATCTGCTATATTGTTTTCGGACATACAATATTCTAGCTTAATCATCTTACTTTGCACACATTGTCTCACATTTAAATATCTTAAATCTGTGTGTTTCGTTCTTGTTTTAACAGCAATATTTGAAGCCATATGTATTGCTGATTGGTTATCTTCGTAAATAACAATAGGATCTGTTACATTAATTCCCATATCAATCAATAATTGCTTATACAAAAGTAAATCTGTACATAATAAAGACAAACATGAGAATTCAGCCTCCATTGTTGACAAACTTAGATGTTTCTGTCTAATAGATCTCCATCCAATCAATGCTTTTCCTAATAATACAGCAGTACCCGATGTAGATTTTCTTGTATTTATGTCTGTAGCAAAACTTGCATCAGCATATGCAGTCAAATTCAGTTCATCTTTTGGCTCCAAATACAATGCATAATGCATTGTTTGTTTCAGATATCTTAACACACGTTTAGCAGCTTGCCAGTGCCTTTCAGTCGGCTCAGAGTTAAATCTCGCTAATTGATTAACACTGTATGCGATATCTGGCCTTGACCAATTACTGAGATAAGATAAACTACCAATCAAGG